GCAAACAGGTGGTCTAACGTGTTATCGCGAGCGATAACGCCGATACTCTGAAGATCGACGTTGTCAGTAAACAGGAATGTAATATTATGGTAGAACGTTGAACACGTATATAATCGGTCGTGTGTTTTTCAGTTAGGTAAACGCTACCGATGTCGTGATCGTAGATGCATAAAGTCTACGTTATTTTCCTTCTTTTGCGTTGTTTTTTAAAAATCGGTTCTACCGTGGATGATATTGGATAGCGTATAGGAGGTTATACTACGTTGCTAGATTATAACTCGAAGTTTTGTAAACGTGCGAATATATTAAAATTTCCTTTTTGTAATACGGTTCGAAAATTAAAGAAAACCTAGAACAAGACTTTCCCAATTTTTTCATTTGGTGGATCCTTTTTTATTCGGTCAAATCTTGTCACGGCCTTGAGTATAGACTTTATACAATAAACTTCTCTTTCACTATCATAAACTGACAGATATACTATACGTGTAGTATTTTTATACTTGTTTTTTATTTTATTTCTTTTAGTAGCCGAAAACAATTTTGATCGATTTGATAGATTTTTTTGTTCGAATCTCCCAGCTTTATCTTCTGGAAACTTCAACTTCCATTCGACGAAGTTCTTATGAAAACAGATTAACCTTGGATAAATGAAACTACTACCGCCTATCATAATTAACGGTAAACTTTATTTTTGCGACCAAGGATTTTTCAAAATAAACGAAGATGCGAAAGCGGCGACTATTCGTTTACATTTCTACCGATTTTATATTCTTTTAAATGGCAATATTCGATGAATTTTAATTCTCATTTTATTTGACTACACGTTTGAGCATCATTCTAATTTTCTTGATTAGTTTTCAACATCGGACATCCAATGGAATGCGCATATTTAATTTTACGCATTAACGTAAATAAACTTCTTCCTAAAAAGTTTAAGCTTCGTAACCTTGTATTACCAAGCAATTCGTAGTCCTGATTGTCAGATTCGTAAATTATAATATATACATATACATATATGTCCTAGCATATAGAGACAAATTAAATACAAATATGGGAAAATTTTTGCGAAACTGGTTCCATCCTCTCGTGTCCATTACTTATAGAATGATATCCGAAAATTAAAAATACAATTTCCAAGGTTTTGCAGAAACAACGAGTTTACTGCTAAAGATGGTGAACAAAGAAAAAGAAAAAAAAGAAAGGTTTTTTTTTTTAATACGCAAGGTAATAAGAAATGCTTAATAAAAAAAGGAAAAAAAGAAGTAACGAACGCGTATAAGATTTTTCTTGAACGAGACACGTCAATATCATTCGAGCAAGAACGTACCGTAAATTCAGAGATTATCTTAGATGAAAAAGTTAACATATCCGATGATAATCCAACGTGAAGACGTGGCTGTCAGTTTGGAACACTTTTAAGAAAGAGAGAAAGAAAGAGAAAAAGAGAGGGGTTACACACACGTTGTTGTACACGTGCGAGGATAACGAAGGAACCGAATAAAGAAGCGTCGCGTATTAGTAAGAAAGGAAGAGAATAAAGAAGAAAGGAAGTAAAGATGAAAAGGGAGGATGAAAAAGTTGGATGGTGTTTAAGAAGGGTTTCTTCTTCCACGCGTTGAAGGCGTGTCCCCCGTTTAGATACGCCGATCGAGCGTGTCTTCGGGATCGGAATGCACTTTGGGTTTGGCTCATATTTATTTTCGTATATCTCCTTCCTTTATCTTTATTCGCGTGTTTAACCGTGTAAAAGTTCTGAGATACGTCGGCCATACGTCGCGTTGCGATAGAACGCGAGCCGAATCGTTTGCATTGCCGTTCCCATTGGAAAATAACGTTAACGTTTCTACGAGAAAATTTATATGTCGTGCATTTAAAGGGACGCAAGCTCTCCCTCTTACCTTTTTTTTTTCTTTTTTTACTCTTTCTCATCACCACCACCTCCCCACCCCCTCTCCTTTTCCTCTCTCACCGCGAGACATGAAAACGGCGGTCGCGCACGGATTAACCGGAATCTCATCTCTTCCACGGCATGGTATAATTTGCTACGCGCGATCGAGATAACAGAGAGAGAGAGAGAGAGAGAGAGAGAGAGAGGGGAAGACGATTCGCGCAGTAAAATTATCGCTGAATGAAAAGGAAGACGACGAGAGAGGCGTACCTCGTCTAACGTTAAGCTTTCTAATGAATACCAAGGAAGAACGTTAATATGTAATGCATACTTACTTTGCCTTTGATCCTACTGTTAAAATGTAAATAATCTCGATCGAAAAGGAACAAATTAATGGGGGAGAAGTGAAAAGATAAAAGGAAATCAGGAGGATAGATTATAATTAAATACGAATGGAAGTTCGTAATAAAGTTCGTACGTGTCGCGAATTTAATAGAAATTAAAAGAGAGAAGCAAATATATTGTCAATAATATCGGACATTTTTTAATATTCGAGCATTAAATCGTACCTTGTCACGTGGAACTTTTGTCAGGTCTATTACTATGCAAAAGAAATCAAGTCTTTTATAAATTATTCATAAATCCTTTCGTATATGTAAGAATAAAATAAGCTGTCTAATAAGCTAATAAACTAAATAACCTGTCATATTATAACTCTCAAGTGACAAACTCTCCTATATAGATAGAAATAAGAAATACGAACAATTTTTAAATATACTTGACGAATTAAAAATGTTTTGATTAATCACGACAAACTCGTAAGAATCTTTTTTGGATTTGGACGTTAGTCAAGGTCCCACTTCCATAAAAATATCATTACGCGATTCATAGATTATCGCATTAACGCGACTTATATGGTGGTTCTATTTTTAGAAATGTGACTCGACTCAACGACAACCTTCGAATTCGTCTTCCGTATCTTTGCTCCGAAAACAATTTATCGATTTAAAGGAATCCCATTACAAGTTCCTATCGATAAATTACAAGGCACATCCATCATTATGAAAGATCAAGATTTATGAGCCGTATTAATCCTATCCAAGTGTTTTCAATCACGGTACGCTTCGAAGAACGATAGCTATCGAAAGAGAATTTATTTCGCTTAAATATTCTTTAAATAGGAAGTCTTCTCTCTAAATTACCATTGAGAATAAACGAACGGTTTCTGTTTCCTCGTCATCTGTCTCTTTCGTCCGTAACGTGGGAAGTTCGTTCTTTTACTTCTCACAATCGAGTTCCACATTAATCGAGCTTTACACCATGTATCATTTACCGTAGCACGCGCAGTCAGATAGTCCAAGTCCGAACGTAGTCACAGTTAAAGCTTATTATAAAATCAGATTCATTTTGCGTGTACGTACGTATATGTGTTAGTGTATATGTTAGTGTATATAATTCATCCTTGCGAACTGTAATCAAGGAACAGCGTGCACACGGACAACATATACTACCGTATCTCTTAAATAATCGTCGTTTCGTTAACGGTACGCGCGAGAAGTACTTAAACTAACGTTTCTCGCTTCTCTCGCACGCGTACCCATTTAATCGCGAATAATACGAACGTAACATAAGGCCTGGCTATCTGTCAGACCGTATATATTATATATTCCAGCTGGAATTAAAACGGCGTATAATGTTTCGATTATTTTTCAAACGTTACGATTGCGATACAATAAAACTCGAGTTCAAACGGCAACGCGTACTATTAAACGCTCGAATTTTCAATCAATCGGCAAAGATATAAGTGAGAGAGAGAGAAATACTAATTTTCTACGTGACTATATTTGTAGATATACGCGCGTTTTAATTTAGAATAATTTTTCCTTTTTATATTTTTCACCATTAAAGTATAAAACGACGGATCTAATTTTATTTTTTTCTTACGTCAATTAGGGAGAATCGTTATTTATATTATCGTTTATATATTATCGTTATAAATTATATCCGGTGATAAGCATTTGGATAATATAATCTTCTGTAGATCAATAATCGAAGGAAATAATAATAAAAGACACTCGTGTCGTTTGTAATTCCTTTTGCCTGACGTAATATGAATCATAGATAAACCATCGTCTTTTCGAAACGATCAATTTTTCTTTTCTTTTTTTTTTTTTTTTTCCTTTAATCCAGATAAGATCGCAAGTCGCGAACGGGCACATAAATAACCGTCTCTTTACACGAAACGACGTTTCAGATAAGAAAGTTACATCTTCGCTTTCGAACGATATAAAAATACGAAGTTAATTGGATCGAACAGAACGGTTCGGTTATCCCAGAGCACCAATTAAGTGTGCATACATTGAAATCACGATAAAGTTGTAGATTTTGTTTCTCTTTATTAATTTTATAATCGCGTTATTTATTTCATTGTATATTAAATTTCTCACTTTTAGTTTATTACCTCTCTTATTCAAGTTACCATTCAACGGCAGCAAGTAGAAATGCGAATTAACGCGAAGACAATAAAAAAAAAGAACAATAAAATAGATACTAATTAATCAATAAAACGTCCAATCTGCCACCCAGTAACGTCTAAATCCGTTTCAAGTCGGCCGAAGGAAAGTTTGCAAAAGACCGGCTAGTAAGACTGGATCAATATCTAACCTTCGGTAAAGATCTATCGTTACGAAGGATCTAGACATCAATCGTCATATGTTTTAATGAACGCAAATACCTAAATAACGTACCTCGGAAAGCCATAAATCTTTTACGTTGGTATATAAGCTAAGCTTACATTAGAGCTCGTTCGATCGATGAATCGGAAAAAAAAATCTATTATCTGTCAATTAATTCTTTACACTATTGATCAAAAAGTTAAGAGAGAGATATATACAATATGTCTCGTCAAAGACATATAATTTAATACGCGTTACTTTCTTCTTCTTCGAATTTTGCAACGTAGACAATTAATATTAATTAATCGTACCTATTATTAATAAAAAAAAAAGAAGAATAAGAAAGAATGCACTTCGTTTCTTTTTTTTTTTTTTTAATTTCATTCGTCGGGACTAGATTTTACAAATCTCAAAATTTTCGAGATGGATCCTTGATTTCGTGAAAAGAAAAAGAAGTCAATAATGGTTCCTGTAGCACGTTCTACATTTGAAGAAAAATAAAAAAAAAACAAAAAAGGAGAGAAAGAACGGACAATATCGTTGGCGGTAATGTTCTTGTCGCGCGATAGGTAGGGCTAAATGTAACCAACCGTCGGACTATTTTGCGATCGTTAAGCCTGTAACATATACGTTACGCATAGCCCTCTCACACGTAGGATGATATCTGTAAGAGTTTGCGAACACAGAGACTGAGTTCTTCTGGGTGAAGCTTATGCGAGAGTCGGTAGTATCGTCGGTGGCTCGTAAAAAGTCAAACGTATGGCGCGTCGGCGCAGCCACGTTGACATTTTGTGTATAAGTACGCAATATAATTAGCGACCATAATCGTAAATAAGGTAATTTGCATATATTTTGTATAATAAAGCCATTTTATACGCGAACGGTAAGAATCTTGTGCTTTATGAGAAAGTCCTACGGACCAATATGGAGACGACCTCGAGACAAGAAGGAATTTTTCAAAGATATTCTACAGCAATGATTAAAAACTTATAAATCCGATGATCATCCTCGGATCAATCGATTCGCACACGGACGGTCAAAGTTAAACTTTCAAAAGGGTTCAAGCGTTTACGCTCGAATTATCCACGATTAAAATTTGCACCGTAAAATCGATACGATTGACAACCGTATCCTTTTACCCATCTATCAATTCTTTTCGATTGCTGGCCCACAAATTTTTCCATCTTTCATCAATAAAAACTTGTGTCGATTCACGTAAGTGTAACATCAAATTTATGTTATTACGAAAATAACTTTTTAACGAAACATACAATATTTATTAAGGATTAAATTCTTCTTAGCTGTTCAGCTGTTCGATTGCTAAATCGAAAATGTTTCGGTTTTGACGTATCGTATATGTCACGTTAGGTCCTGCGGAGTCTTATCCGAATCTGTAGATTTTTCTAAAAGGTTTCTATCATTAATTTTTTTCCTAAATCTTCCTATAAAGAGCTTATCTCTTATTTCTACAATCCTGTAGAAATCTTTACATCCCTGAGTCCCAAGATTTAAAAGTCTCTATACAAACTGTACTTACTTGAAATTATTTATACTCGGTTATTATTCATTTTTACTATTACTCTCAAATTCATATATATATATAAATTAACATAACAATTTATATATTTCATACGTTATACGATAAAATTTAATATAACAAATGATGTCCTATAAGTAAGGTAGAAGATTTATGACACGGCAAAAATACGAATATTCAAAGTCAAGGAGAGTCTGATGAGTCGGAAGAAGAGAAAGAGAGAGAAAGAGAGAGAAAGAGAGAGAGAGAGAGAGAGGGAGAGAAAAGGGGAGACAGGTGTTACGCCACTGAGGATGGCAGGCGGCTGTCTGGTCGAACGGACAGACGTATGCGGACAAGGAACGAGCTGGTCTGGTGTGCGGCCACGGACGAAGTTCCTCGCCTAGCATACAAATGAAGAGTATAAACATGTCGTCATTATCTCCTGGATTTATAATATGGATACGTACACCCATACTTGACGGTACAGGTGGCTCCATCAGTGGTTCTCATTTTCGGGACACGTCGTTACTTTTTCATCATTTTGTTTGCCTCTCTTCCTAATTTTCGCAAATAACTGAGAATATCCAACGCGAAGAATAAATTATTAACCGACATTTCAAACTCTATCCCTTTATCCTATTGTTTCTGATGTTTTTTCTTTTTCTTTCTAAAACATACGATTCTTTAAATCCATTACTATATACGAATAATCAATGAACCTTTGAATTTATAGCTTTAGATCAGCATTAAATAAATGTAATCTTCGTTTAATTTGAATGTTAGAAAGAAATATCTGTGGCTTTCAATTCAATAAATTGACTTCCAACTATATTCTTCTCTTTTGCTTTGAGGCCTCGTTCGGCGAAAGAACTGCAAGCTTACGGTCGTGCCGCCTTAATGAGAATGGTTACGATAACGGTTATGTTCCTTACCTTCGTACGTTAACTAGACGTCGAGTTAACCATTCTTCCAACATTTTACTTGGATTCACGGACATATATACTTATCGGATTCACAAGTTAGAGGAGTTACAGTCAAATTCACAACTCCGAATTGTAGTTTTCTCTTTTTATTGAACCTTACAGGGTATATTCGGCCAGTTTTGTGTTTTCTCGCCTTGCTAACCTACTCGAATTCAGTTTGGTATTCATTCAGTTTGCATGGTAAACCACCACTCGAACGATCCTCGATAATACGACATCTCGTATTAATAAGCCACCACACTGACTCGTCCTACGAGGTACTTTCCCGTCGAATTTATAACCTTATTGTATTATAAAATAACATATGTAAAATGTAAAAGTGCGCGAATGAGAATATTGTTGTAACATATGCCGACCTTCGCTATTTGCCGCTTTATTTCTTTCTTTTTCTTTTTTTTTCTTTTTTTTTTGAATTACAAACTTTCACGCGATATCGAGTTAGCCGACAAAAATAATATTAAACGTACTTAAAAGACATTCAATTAACAGATCGAGGTGTCAATTTTCATAAAATTACTTTAAATGTGCATAAATCTATACGTCAATTGCAATTAACATTTTTTTACCTTTCCCGATACGACATTAAGGAAAAATTATCCGTCATATTTTTTTCGTATAACTCTCCATTTATAACCGACGATTAAAATCTCGTAAATGTCATTTAAAAAGATATCATAAACGTATCGAATAAAATGAAGAAAATTGAATGGCCAGTCGGTCGATGCGTTTAAAGTATTTTCTCGAAGACATTATCTTTGGCGTGTTATGCTTCGTCGATTATTTCACTTGGGAGGATCGTAGGTACTTATACTTTAACTCTGTATGTATTTTATTATCACGAGAAGAAGAGAGAACGCAACGATCACAACGTCTGTAATATCGAGGTGAGATAAGAACGGTGTAATCGAGAGCGAAAAAGAAAGTTTCCGTAAGTGAAAAAGAAGATATAGAGAAAAGAGAAGGAGAAATAACAAAAAAAAACAAAAAAATTCTTCATCCTGATCGTTCACTTTCGCACTCGAACGAATAGTATACATACGCACATACATACATATAGGTATACATATATACATAATACGATGATGCAAGACACTTCCTTTGAGCAATGCACCGGCAATGGCGGTAATTCGTATCGAACGGCTTTGCGAGTGGGCGAAAAGAGAAATTATCGGACGCGTTGCACGTCGAATGTGGTATTATACGAGGATAGTAATTCACCGGTACGGATTATGGACTACTTATCGTATAATTTAGTAGAGTTCGCTATAAACGGCATAACGTTATGAACACGCAATGTGCTGCACACGCGCGCGCACACACCCGGTATAATATATTTTCTTGTCCCGATAGTTTAACATTATCGAATAGTAAAGGAAGGAACGAACGAACGAACGAACGAACGAGCAAACTCACGCAAAGATAGTAACGATTTGAAAAATAGATTTCGTCGTAGCTTTGGTAACGATCGCCAGTTACCACGAGACCTTTATAAAAAGGAATTACCGAAGGTAAATCCTTAGTCGTCGGTCCTCGAATGTCGGAAATATATATTTTTATATAGCAAAGAGAAGAGAAAAAAAAGAAGAAGAAGAAAAAAAATCGATGTTCCGTATCCCAAAATGGAATTTATTCTTACTAACCGTGTCGACTTTTATTTCGAATCCTTGGTCTTATCGAAGAAGAAGTAGACGATCTGGTTTCGGTTCTCGACAAATTTCATTTGGCATAAATAATTTCGCATATAAATTCGTCTTAATATGGTCGGTTCTTAAAGTTTTCTTTTTGCTTATAATCTCTCTTTTTAAATGTATCAACATTTTCCAACGACGATATCGATAAAATAATTATTAACGATAAATACAAATAAGGGTATCTACGTAGTAGATAATGAATAAGAAGATCTGGTGTAGAGGTCCTGGTAGAATTAAAAAACAAACATACAAAAAATTGGTCTACCGTCAAGTTGGTTCTTTCACCTCGTTAGAACGGTAAAAAATTTAATCGGCAATTTGTTGATATCGTTATGATTATTATACTTGGAAGCGTGTTAGATGCGTAATTGAGCGTATCTAGAATCGATCGTAGCTCGGACATTAGCCTTCGGTTGTCGCGACGACGAGAGGGATGGGAAAGGGAAAGGGGCGGGGGAGAGAGAGAGGGCCGGCAATTAGTCGAGCGACGTCTCCATCGGCACTCTCGTCCGATACCGCGTTGCTTCATTAAGAGATAATGAAGCGTTAGAGATAATAATTTCCGGTAAATGTAGGTAATTGCTGGTGGTAACGGTATAAAATAGAATCGACGGATAACGTGTCGAATGTTAATTAGAAAGCATCATGTAAATGCGCGCGAATAAACTCGACCGCGAGAAGCCCGTGAATCTCTCCTCCCCACCCTCCTTTTCCTCCTCCTCCTCCTCCTCCTCCTCCTATCGAAATCCTTATAGTGGTCGAGATAAATCTCGGATAGCTGGAGCAAAGCTGTCGAAAAGCCGATATAATAGACGAGAAATAGTGTCGTGGAATTTAACGCGAAATCGTTTCACACCGATATTCATTCTCGTTTATCGCTAATTCCTTACTCGCCATTAGTTTATTTGTTTTTGTTTCCTTCGAATAAATGTTCACAAACTGGCTTTATATGTATCAAATAAAATCGTCAAGAGATTACCGAATCAGATAAAAACGTCCGGACTTTCTCAAACAGAGAGAGAAAAAGAGAGAAAGAGAGAGAGAAGAAATTCTTAAACCGAGTCACATGCAGACATCGTTTCGAATTTCATTCTCATGAACTTCACCGACGAAGCGAAACCACCTTCATCGCCACGGAAGGGAAACTTAATTACAAATTAGCAATTACTCGGGGCTCGTTAGAATCCTCGAACGTGAGTGTACAAACATTAAGAACTCGTAATCGCTTTGAAGGGGTTGGACGAGACGAGTTTGGCGTAGGTTGAAAAAAAAAAAGAAAAAGAAAAAGTCAAAGACCGGGGCAAAAGTTTTTAGACGAAAATCCGAAATAGTTGGAGTGCGGGCAGCGTAACGAAAAGGTCTTGTGTTTGCTGGTAACATTATGAAAAAAGGGTAAGAATAGGTGAGAGAGAGAGAGAGGGAGAGAGAGAGAGAGAGAGAGAGAGAGAGAGAGAAAGAGAAAGAAAAAGACAAAAATGTGAGGGAGAGAAAGAGAGAGAGAGAAGACCGAGAAAGAAAAATAAGTGGCAGCGAGCAGCCAGGAGCTTCCCTCCGCAGATTTTTCGTGACAAGATAAGCCACGTCCTGTTTACTCTGGACTGCCATGGCATACGAAGATGCTCGTTAAGCCTTTTAGTGCTTGGCGTATCGTGCGAGCACCCACAAAGTCGTATATCACCGAGGGGTACCTCGGTTTGTACTCGTACCTTAACTCGCCCGCACGTAAAGCCCCCCTTCGAAAGGAGAAAACCCGCTGTGTTTCTATATCGAGTGCTACTAGCTCTTCTCTTGACGGCACGCTTCTCTCTTTCCTTTCGTTCTTTTCTCTTTTTCTTTTTTTGTTTTTTAGTTTGTTTTTTTTTGTTTCTTTTTATTTCTACTTCACTCTAACGCGACCACCATATTCCCCTTTGCGTGCTGTAAAATTCTCTCTCCGATTATAACTACGAGAATTCGAGCTCGCAGATATATTATATTTTATCGAAATACATTTTAACCGTTCGAATTCGAGTTCCAGCGATT